TGTGTGTGTCTGTGAGGGAGAGGGAGAGACTGTGTGTGTGTGTGCGTCTATGAGGGAGAGGGAGAGGGAGAGACTGTGTGTGTGTGTGTGTCTGTGAGGGAGAGGGAGAGACTGTGTGTGTGTGTGTGTCTGTGAGGGAGAGGGAGAGACTGTGTGTATGTGTGTGTCTGTGAGGGAGAGGGAGAGCTGGGGCGCCAAAAGCAGGAAGATGGGAGGGGAGGGGAGGAGAGTTCATTCGCAGTCCTTGGGAGACTCAGGTCGCCTGGTGTCTCAGGGCTGCTTTTGCTTTTTCCTCCTTTGCCTCCTCCAGCTCTGAATTTCTCTAGGATGAACCCAGGGTATAAGAGATCTGTTTTTGCAACCCTGAAAGCCATTATTTATGTGAATTGATATTTCTCCCCTCCTTCATTGAATGCATTTTTCATTTTGGAAGATTTGAACAGTGTATTTCTTTTTCCTAAAACTTCCTTCTTCCCTGAGCCCCTCCAAGGAACTCGTTTCCCGATTCTTCCCATTCCAGTGAGTGATGCTACCAAAGGCTTCTGTCCCACGTGTCCCTCTATTCTTCAACACATGTTGAGGTATTCATTCAGCGAACCACTTAGAATACCTTAAGTGCATATCCTTCCGCCAGGCGTACTGATGGAGTGGAAAAACCAACCCTTGCGGGGAATTTTATACCTCCCTTGTTAGAGCTGTGATGTGATGAAGTGGAGGTAATGGTTATGTGGGATCCCATGTTGTAAACTTGAGTTTCCAATTAGACAAGAAGGTAATTGGTGTTAATTTGTTGCAGTCTCAGTATTTGCCCATATCTCGAGCTCTCTGAGATTTTTAGGACTGGGGAGATGATAGGGATTGATAGATTGAGTGTATGGAGTTATGTGATAGTCCAAGGAGACTGTGCCAGGTAGACGCCAGTGAATGGGTCCATTTTGAACTTGTGTAGTGTGTGCTTGTCTTGGGTCACATCAGTGTGAGTGTGGATCTTCCTCCATCAGTTCTGGTAGCTCAGGAACTGAGACAGTATAGTTAGGGACAATTTATGGTAACAGGAACAATATAGCTAGATGTATAAATTGTTGAGAAGTAATGACTCTCATAACTACAAAAGAAATTTAGAGAACTTGTCCAAACTAGTGTGCCAAAATAAGAACATTGAATACATAAGAATATAGCCGGTGAAAATGATGTCTATTTTATAATTTGTGGTGACATAGAAAAGTGATTAGGATTTAATATTCTGGCATATTTATGAGCCTGAGGTTTTTGTTTTTTTTTTTTTTCCTGAGGAGGATCAGCCCTGAGTTAACATCCATGCCAATCCTCCTCTTTGTGCTGAGGAAGACTGGCCCTTAGCTAACGTCGTGCTGATTTTCCTCCACTTTATGTGAGACATCGCCACAGCATAGCCTGACAAGCGGTGCGTTGGTGCGCGCCCGGGATCCGAACCCCGGGCTGCCAGCCGCGGAGCGCGTGCACTTAACCGCTATGCCACGGGGCCGGCCCCTGAGCCTGAGTTTTTAAGAAATTATTAAGTCACTAAGTTATATTCAAATCCTGTTCTCAGAAATAGAAGTTTTATAAGTTATTTTTGAATCAAGCTTTTTTTTTTTTTAATAATTTTATTTATTTATTTATTTTTCCCCAAAGCCCCAGTAGATAGTTGTATGTCGTAGTTGCACATCCTTCTAGTTGCTGTATGTGGGACTCGGCCTCAGCATGGCCCGAGAAGCGGTGCGTCGGTGCGCGCCCGGGATCCGAACCCCGGGGCGCCAGTAGCGGAGCACGCACACTTAACCGCTAAGCCACAGGGCCGGCCCCTGAATCAAGCTTTTTAAAAAATTTCTTTATTGGGAGAATGGGAAGGAGATGGTCACAAGTGTTGTGTGATGAACATAGAGTGTGCTGTGTACTTGTGGTTACAGTTTTATTGAATTGAGAAACACCGATTATCTGGACTCTGTGTATTCCCAGACCTGGGTCGATAATGGAAGATAGTTGTAGGCATGTTTAAGAATGACGTGTGCACCAAGAATGATGTGTGCCCTGATCACTCTTGCTTCCACACTGACCCGTCCACCTTGAAGGGTCCAGCACAGCCTGTTTTCCCAGCGGTGTTCCCCTACTGAATTGCTTTCTTCATTTTCTTTTCTTCCATTGTAAAGATTTTGCCTATTAATTTCACAAATGGTATATTTATCTGCCGTTCCAGGGCTTGAACTTCAAAGATGTGGCCATTTACTTCTCTCAAAAGGAGTGGGAATGTTTGCACTCTGCTCAGAAGGATTTGTACCGAGATGTAATGTTGGAGAATTATAAGAACCTGATCTCACTGGGTAGGTTTGTCTGCCCCCCAAACTTCAGAATTGGCCTTCTGGAATTTGTATGTTTTTTGTTATGAATTTCTCGTGAGTGCTTTTCAAATGCCTGGCTGAATTAATGATTCTTGCTTACCAAAGAATGGTTTGTCCCTTGTGAAGTTAGAAATTGGCTGCTCCATTGGACAACTTTATCTTTTTTGTTCCTCTGACCTTTGACCCTTACTCTACTAACTCCGCTTTCTTGATAATCATGGACTGATTTTCATTCTGAGACACCCACAATATAACTTTGTCCTCCCTTTTTTTTTTTTTCTTGAGCAGGACTTTCTGATTCTAAGCCGGATGTAATCTCCTTATTGGAGCAGAAGAAGGAGCCCTGGATGGTTGAGAGGAAGGAGACAAAAGAATGGTGTCCAGGTGAGTGATGGTGACTCGTGTGGGAGAAGCCGTGGCAGTGGTCACTCAGCTGGCTGGTGAGAAGGCGCACTTCTGATGTTGGTAGGGAAGCTCCCTGGAAGGGCCTGATATCTGGAGAAGAAAGTAAGGATGCTTCAGCGTGAGGCCGCAGATTTTTACTCTGCTTACCATTCTCTTGCTGCCCTTCCTCACATTTCCCGCTGATTTCAGGAAAGAAGTGGCTTCCTCTTTCCCACGAGACAACCATTTTCCCTGCACTTTGGGTCCAGTGTTGTCCAGACTTTTAAAAACAGCTCTATTGAGATATAATTCACGTATCATAAAATTCACTCATTTAAAGTGTACAGTGCCATGGTTTTTAGTATATTCACAGAGTTTTGCAACTGTGACAACAGCCTCATTTTGAAATGAGACCCCATGCCCATTAGCAGTCAATCCCCACACCCAGCCCTAGGCAACCACTAAGCTACTTATAATCCTTTTTATTTCTTAAGGTTGGTAGTGATAGCCCCTCTTTCATTCTTGATATTAGTGTGAGCCTCTCTCTCTTTTTCGGTCAGTCTAGCTAAAAGTTTGTCGGTTTTGTTGATCTTTTCAAAGAGCCAACTTGTAGTTACACTTGATTTTTCTCTGTTTTTCTTTTTCTACTTTGTTCATCTCCCCTCTAATCTTCATTATTTCCTTCCTCTGTCTTTGTGTTTAGTTTGCTCTTCTTTATGTACTTCCTTAAGTGTACAATTAGATTATTGATTTGAGATCTTTCTTATTTTTTTTAATAGTCATTTTAAGCTGTAAATTTCCCTGTAAGATCTGTTTTAACTATATTTCCTAAGTTTTGGTATGTTGAGTTTTCCTTTTGTCCAACTCAGAAGTATTTTCCAATTTCTCTTGTGATTTCTTCTTTGACGCGTTGGTTATTTAAGAGTATGTTGTTTTCTGTTACCTTGTTGATCTTCTGGCTGGTTGATCTGTCCATTATTGAAAGTAGAGCATTGAAGGCTCCAATTTGTTGAATTGTCTGTTTTTCCCTTCAATTCTGTTAGTTTTTGCTTCATGTACTTTGGGGCTCTATTATTACATGCACGTATGCTTACAATATAATTTCCTGATAGATTAACCCCCTTATATTATAAAATGTCCTTCTCTAGTTACAATTTTTGTTCTAAAGTCTATTTTATCTGATAATAGTATAGTTATTGCAGCTTACTTTTGATTCCTCTTTGCATAGTATATCTTTTTTTTTTTTTTTTTAAATATTTTATTTATTCATTTTTTCCCCCCAAAGCCCCAGTAGATAGTTGTATGTCATAG